CTTTTAAAATCTGAGTATAAATCCATTGTTCAGACTTCCTGTCTTATTTGTTGTCAGACTCTTGATAACTTTTTCACTTCTCTTTTGGGAGATGGCTGGGAATATATTTAGACTTAAATTATTATATGTAAAACTTCCATAAATTATTTTAAAAGGCTACTCTGGAAAGCATTTTGAACTCTATGAATTTAAACTAAGTCTGTAGACATTTTTAAAGAGCACTCACATAGAGCAAATACTGAAAAGCAGAAATGAAAATAAAGGAGAAAATCCAACCAGGAGAATTCAAAAGACTGAAATTACATTGGATTTGAAATAGAATGAAATTAAAAAACAAAACAAAAACAAAAACAAAAAAACTGGAGATTCCTGCCTTTTCTAGTTTCAATATTAGTTGCAAGTAAGTAAACATGGACTAAAACACTGTGCAGTTCTAGGCCACAAAAATTAAGAACAATGCTAAGTCACCTGAATACATCCAGAAGAAAACAACCAAGCAGGTAAAAGGGCTGGAAGGTCTGCTCCGCAAGGAGGGGTGGGGTTTGGATAGAAGGAGGCTGAGGGACAACATCACTGCTGTGCTCAGCTTCCAGAGGAGGGGAAGTGGGGAGGATGTGCTGAGCTCTTCTTGCAATTCAGCAACAAGGTGTGTGGGAATGGTTCAAAAACTGCATCAGGGGAGGTTCTGACTGGACATTACGAAGCTTTTTTTTTTTTTTTTTTTTTCTGAGAGGATGGTTAAACCCTGGCACAGGCTTTCTAGAGAGGCAGTTGATACCTTGACCCTGTCAGTGCCTCAAAAATAGGCATCTGGATAATGTCTTTTGTTGCAGCATGGCAGGGGGGTAGAAATGCTGCAGCCTTCTTTGAAACGTATCCTTTAGAAGCCGCTCAGAGTGAGGGCGCAAGAACAGCCATTTCAAGTCCATGCACACACATGTACCACAGATAGGTAAGCAGAGGAAAGACAGGAAGGGTCTTTGTGTGATATATTGCAGCAAGGATTTACTGCACCCACCACGCCAAAGGGACCACAGACAAAAGACAAAACCATGTGGTCTGCACAGCTTGAGTATGGGGTCAGTGATGAATGACCTGAGGGCACAGGGTGGGCAAAGGGCAGGAACCTGTAGGGGGAAAGAGGGATGAAAAATTGGGGAGGGCAGTGTCAACTGGCCAATGGGGGAGGCTTTCTAATGTAGATTGGCAGTAGTGCTGCAGAACATTATGGGTTAAGACTTAGGTGGGGAAAACTCCAAGACATAGTCTTCCAAGGCATGGCTTTGGGGATTTCCCTGAGGGGGAGGAGTCAAAGGATTCCACAGTCCTTCATAATGGGCTTGGAATTTGGTCAGCCCTGAAGTGGTCAGGCAGGTCCCTTCCAACTGTTCTATTCTATTCTATTCTATTCTATTCTATTCTATTCTATTCTTTCTGTTATTAATTGCCATACATTTTATACTCAACATAAGCTATACATTCAATCCAAAAGCAATAAGGTTAAACAAGGATCATAGGAGCACACAGTAATTCAGGATAAAAATGGCTTCAGGAAGACTGTGGTCCAATGTCTTGCTCAAATCAGGGTCACCTGTGGGACCAAACAATGTCACTTAATCCAGCTTGCACTTGAGAGCCTTAAAGGATGCACCAACTCTGTGAGCAAATAGGCCCTCTCACAGACATGTCACAGACACTTCTCTTGCTCCTTAACAATGCACAGTTTGATTTGATAAACTTACTTATAGCCTACAGCAACATTGGCAAGTATTTTCTGTTGCCTCTCCCTATATATGTGCACACTAAGTGCAGATTTTGCTAAAGACTGGTCCAAAATTTCACTTTCCTTTACCAATAATTTTTAGATCTCAAGGTAGAGGACAGAGTATGTCTTTTCACATTGAATAGTTCTGTTTATAGCTTTGAGATGCTGTGAATCAGAGCTGGTACTAACTGAAGGTCTGCAAAATGCACAAAGCTCTAAATGCACCATTTTTTTATATTCTGTCCTGTGCTGGTGTCCATCAGACAAAATTCACCTTGCTTAAATAGCTGTTACACCAGCTGAAATCAGCTTAATTAGGCAAAAAAGTAAATTTGGCCCAGTAAGTAAATCAAGGGATGATTTTCAAACTTTAAACTTAATTTTTTTTAAACTGTTATATCAAAAAATTTAGATGGTATTTTAATAAATGCTTTTAAAATTTTGTTTAGGTTTTAAGCTGATTTTCACTGTATTTACTGGTCTGCTAATTTTTTAACTTAGCAAAATGATCCTTTAAGAAATTACTAAACTTTTTTATTTGGATGGCAAAAGTTGCAAGTTATATGGCAATATATAATATTTCTTTCTTTGTCTTTTAATATAAAAATACTCCTTCTGCACCCCCCAGCACCCCCCAATATAACGTTCTTCTGCCACATCAGCCATACCCTCCTCAGAGCTGCTTTTCTCTTCCCTTCCCCCTCTCAAATTGGTACCTTGTTTTTTATGCTGAATGTGGTTCTAGATTTCCAGCAAAAAATGTGTTTTCAAAATAATTGCTGCAATCCTTCAAAAGCGAAAGGAGATTATTTAATAAAAATATTTGTCTCATTAGGCTTGGTGATTAAATCCATGTACAGAGAGCCAAAGAAATACAATGAGTAAATATTCTATAAATTGCTCAGCTTCCAGCTGTTGAATTTAATAACTTCACTAATGCTCAAAACACCACAGCAGTTTCCAATGTACAAATATGGAATACAGGAATAGCACGAAAAATAAGCCTTTTGATAAAATGACTTTAGGGATAATAAAACAGGAAGAACTTGAAAAGGATAAAGAAATTGAGCTGTTTCCCATGTATTTTACTTTTTATATTCTGTTTTCTGACAAATTGTCTTTCTAATTATTGTCATTCTAATTGACTGTAATTGATGTGGGAAGCTACTGATGAGCACAGACAGTCTAAGATGTTGGTATTTTATGTTCTGGCCAGGATGGTGCAGAGAAAACGGCTTGAAATGGTCTCTTTCTCTCTGTGTTGCAGTAGGACTACAGAGTTAATCAGTTCTTATGTGGAAAAACAAAGCCCAAGTTTTCTAAAGTATCTTTATTTTCCATGTAAAATCTCGGATGCCTTGATCCAAGACACTGCAAAAAAGCAACGAAATACAGTACTTTATCTTAAGAAAATATTAACAGCATGATGACATTGAAAATGCAAAATTGTGAAAATTATGGGGATTTAGGAAACTCTAGCTTCATTTTCAAATATTTGGTTTGGAATTTGAGTACTAACTTTAAGAGAAGTCTTTAGGATCTGCTTTTCTCTTGGTGCCTAGGAATTCAAAAGTTTTGCACCATATTAATTCTGTCAGTGTGATAAATGTTAATAAATTTTACAGCTAATTAAATACTAAAATATCCTACTGCTGCCTGCCCTCTCCTTAGAACTCCATTTCAGAGTGTGACTGAAAACTCAGCTGACAGTGAGAGCAGGAAGTTGTTGGGAGGAAGTTTGTTGGAAGAAAGTTGTGATATACTAACTCACATGATCTTACAGCCTCATTTATACTTCAGGACAGCATAGGAAGATGGGATTTCCTGGCCAGGCCAGTATTGCAGGTGTCAACATGAACCAAAGGAGTCTGTGTACTGTGAGCAACATGGAGTATCATAATGCCCCTGAACTACATACCAGGTTCTTTTTCTTAGACTGCTGCTTGACCAGATACATTTGAATTCTAAGGAACACAAATTCCAGGAGCATTTGGGTGTTGGTATTCCATATGGAATACCAACATCCTTCAGTGCAATTCAAGACCAGAGCACCTGCAACTTTCTTGGCAGGACCATTGGAACTAGAGGGAGAACAGAACATGGCCTTTGGGGGCCATTCATGGGGGTCATCCATGCCTTCCCAATCAGATTAATAATCTTCATCTGTGTGATAAAGAATTGATAGTATAAGGATAAAATGTTTCTAAAATCATGGGATATTATAAATTATTGTTATATTTAATTTTGTTTGGCCTTTTATTTGTGATTGGATAATTGGGCAAACATAACAGAAAGAAAGGTCGGGCCTGGTAGGCCCTGGGAAATGTTAGGCTTTACTGGATCATGTAAACTGCACCTGTATAATCATTTAATGACTATGATAAATTATATGATTGTTAGATGTGAATATTGTTTAGTAATTGGATATAATTATTGTTTAATTGTAACAAGAATAATGAAAAACTATGTTGGGAGAGTTTGATGGAAATTACAAAAATCCATGCTTGGATGAAATCAAAGTATACAATAGAACAATATAAATGTAATAATTAGTATGTAGTTATATAATCATAAGGGTATAAAAACATGTTCATCCCAAACCCATGTTGGAGTCAGATTTGGGTCTGTACTCCTGACACCCAGAGCTCTTCAATAAAAGCACCTGCATATAATCATTCCGTGATTATGTGTTCCTGAACACTAACCGAATGAGTCTTTAAAGACTCAGTTTCAGAAACAAAAACTAGCTTAAGTCCATCCCTAGCTGTGTGGTAGAGCTCGTAACTATTATTAAAGGGGAAAAACAGGACTATGACATCAAACTTTTTCTTCCACTTCCCTTTTATTTTACTTGCAAAAGCCAAGTTAAGCAATTGTTTGCAAGGTTTGCTGCAGTAATAGCATCTTTGCTTGTGCAGCAAAATGCAATAGGGAAATGATCTATTTAGTTGTTGGCAAAACCCGTTACTAAGCGTTTGTTATCTAGTCGGAGTTCAAACTTTGCAGGCTGCTTGGAAATACAACAGAAGTGGGTGGTATTCCGTGACAAGAAAGTCACCAAGAGATGGTTGCTTGATACATTCTTACAGCTATATAGGACAGAAAATAGCATGAGGAACTAACACTTATTAAACCAGGCTGAACACAGCTGGAAGACACCGAGGCTCAGGCCGGGGAGGGAGGCGGAGCTCGGAACGGCCTGGATGCACTGCACGGAGCCGCATCCGCGCTCCACCCTCAGCCCGGCGGGCCCAGGGAACCGTAGCTCCCCGCACACCGCCCCTGGCAGCTGCTGCCGCGTGGGACCCGCCGCGGAGAGCCATAGGTAGGAGCAATCGAGCACTGAGCCCGCGCTCCGTCGGCTCCGGCCCTGCTCTCGGAGCTGGGTGGGCCCAGGGAGGGGCCGTAGGGCGGGAGCCTTTCGGGGGTGGGTGGTGGTGCCGCCGCGGGGAGGCCTAGGGAGCCGTACCGTGTGGACCGCGCCACCCGAGGGCGCCGGCTCCTCTGCGCGCTCCCGGCGACGGAGGGGCCCGCGGACTGGGGGCCGGGTGGGCCGTGCCCGGGCAGCGCCTGGTTGCGGGGTGCGGGCAGCGGCCCTGCGGTCTTGCAGGCCCCGAAGCCCGCCCTGCGGCCCGACTGCCGCCGGACTGAGTTGGAAGCGGGGAGCTAAGGCAGGAGCTGCCCGACAGCCCTAGGAGACCAAGACGCTTGGTGGTGGTTCCCATGTGTACAGGGAAGCCGGGGAGTTGCCATGCGGGGCCTGCAGCCTGCGCTGAGGCAGCTCCTGTGCGCTCTCCTCTCCTGCCACCCGATGGGTGACAGTGTAAGCGGTGGAGAAGCCCAGAACTTAACTTGTTTGCAGATACATCTAGTATTAGTGTATGTATGCATTTAGTATGCATAACCGTCTCTTCAGCCACAGTTTAAAGCGCAGTGGCAGCCCCATACTCAGGCGAGTGATAAACTTGAATATGACCTTATTATTGAATCTGACAATGACAAGGTGCACTATTTCACAGGCTTCTGTGGGTAACTTTTGTATTTCTTTGTAATAAATTTTGCATTGTGAAGAGTAGACACACTCAAGAGTTCTGTCTTGATATTTACTGTAGAGCCTGTGAAGCTCACTGATTGCTCTTGTGCACTCAAAGGTGTATTAAAGTGTTACTTCAGAGTATTAAACTTGATAAGCTGCTTTGGTTTGTTAGCAGGTTTGTTTTTCCAGTTCTCTCTCTGCACATTTACTGGAAGAGTGTCTTTGAGCAGTTGCAGTGCTGTTTTCAGTGGTATGCAGAATGTAGGAAAACAATCTCAGATCTTAATTCTCTATGTACATTACTTATATGCTGGTCTATATATATTTTGCCTAGCATAAATATATTCTTTATTACAAAGAAAATAAGAAATTATGAACAAATGCTTCTTGTGAATATGTCTTTGTTACTGTATTCTCTGGAGTGGTTCAGGATGTCATACATGTGTGCTTGCACACCTGCACACAGAAATGAATTGATGTCAGAAAGCTGCTCCTCCGACCACCTTCCTGCTTTTTGTATATTTTGAACCATATTCCAGCTAACGGGGTGTGCTTGCTTCAGTTGTCTCTTTTCCCCCTTGAGTGATAATGAAGATAGAGGAGCATGGTTATCACAGTGGCTTTGAAGCAGAGGGAAATGAGGGAGTGGCAGTGCAATCACTGAAATTAAGTTCTTTTCTAAGAGTACTGACATTATAGTGTAGCTTTCTGTGCTGCCTCTTTTTTGATCAGCCTTGTGCTGCTGGCTTGGCCACCAGCAATGTATAATCCAAAGTCAGGTAAGTCAGAACTGAGTGTTCCGGGAGGAAGATTTCTGTTCACGCTAGTTGTAAGCTTAATGGAAATTTACTGTGACTGCATGTACTGTTGGGCTTTTATTAGTTGTTACTCTATGCTTGCATTACACTTGTTTTAAAGCAGCATTTAAGTAAGGGAAGGAGCATTTGAGAAGCAGGCAAACAACAAAACTTTAAAGCCTTTATGTACATTACTCTAGTGAGCTTGAGAAAGTGACCTTTATCAGTGTGGATGGTATAAGTGAACATGAAACTGATGCATTAAATTTTAAGTTTCATATTTTCCAGATTCTGTACTGCATTACTATATAACTGAAGTTCATATAAAGTGTTAGCAAGTTCTCCTCACAGTTTAGTTAGACAAAACAATCCTTTTCCAGCCAGAGAACCAAGGACACCATTGCAGCTTCAGGCCCAAAAAGTATTAACAACCGCAAATTGAGGAGAGCAGTCTGGGAGGATGGTACTTCATAACTTGAAGCTGTAATTGGACAATTAACCCCAATAGGTAAATGGCACAAAACTTACAAAAGTGTGAAATCTTGTGGCCAGTTGTTCATCTTGGGTGTAACCACAGCTGGGTTTTTGTACTGCCCAAGTTGTATCCTTTGAAGGCCTTTTTAATACTACCTTTTAAAGGCCTTTTAACCTACTTTAGTCCTTTAACACTGTCTAGCCTCTGTTTCTAGGTAGCATCTCAAGTCAACAAAACCTTTCCACCAAATATCTAAATATCTGCTGCAGATTGTAGCAAGGTAAAATAAAGAACAAGTGACTTAAAGCGCTGCCATTAAAAAAACTGAAAAAACTAAATTGCATTGATTGAATAAATTTTTCGTAATATGAGTAGGTCTATTTTTGAAGTTTCTTTCTTTGAATAGCTGTTCCTAGTCAAAGGCTGAATATTGCATGGTTTAGGCTGATCATTTCAAAGTAATATCACCAGAGCTGCACTAACTTGTAAGTATAAAATACTACTCAACCTGAATTTCTTCTGGAACACAAAAACACTGGAGACCCATAGTCCCATTAGAACACTGGTTTTTAAAGAAAATAAATCAGTATTTATTTGGTGAAAACTGGAATACTTCAAGCACTCTCCTTTTGTTTGTTTGTTTCTGTCTCTTTCTTTTTAAAAGGCAGTTTAGTTGTTTGTTGACAGCTCAGGTTGTTTGGTGTCCTCCCAAGTGGGCTAACCTGAAAATAAGAACTTCGAAAATTTAGCTTAGTTGATGAAAAGATGGAAGATCAGAAATACAGAGAAGTAAAAATGAAATTATAAGGGAAACATTATTCTATTTAACTAATCCACTAAAAAATAAAAATCATTTGTGTTACAATATGCATCAGCTACTTTGCATGTATCTCATTGTTTCATTTTTTGATGAGTCAGCATAGTAAACAGCCACCTTTGTGTTGGCCAGGAGCATCATTTTACTGACAAAGTGAAGTGTTTGTCTGTGATTCAGTACAACAGGGAGTCTCATTGTTCGTGTGGAAGGCTCTAAATATTTTAGAGAAGTTATTGTCTGTTAGACACTTCTGTCTACTATTGCTTGGCAAAAAGATGTTAAATGGCCTTCTTTCCCACCATTTTATTTCACTTCTGCTTGCTAAGTCTGCTCATACAAAATTCATTAGTCTGGTCAGACTCTTTAAATTAGATGTGTATTTTGTCCTTGTAAATTGTATGCTCTGTCATGCTCATCTGGTCTGAGGTAGTCAGTTGTGTTGCTAGCTGTAGTTTCTCAGTAGTGCACTTATGATGGTCTTCAATTTTAAAAGGTTGTTTTCTGGATCATAATAGTTTTCTGTTTAAAACTGTTAATAACAAGAATTTAAAAAACTGGTTCCTGCTACTTGGAGTAGGAACATATTAGTAGAAATTGATGTAATCATCTTTTCAAAAAGAACACTTTGTAAATGGTAGTTTTTGGCATTTGTTGCTTGGTATACAGGGTAGCTGAATGGCTTAATTTTTTACCTGTTGACAAGAACACACCTCCCTTCCCCCCTCCCCCCCCCTCACCCCCGGCAATACACACACTTTACTTCTTGTTTTGTAGTCTGTTGTTTTACATTACATTCTGAAGTTACTGCACTGGCTTTGTTAATTCAATAATCAATTCATGTTTTCTTAAGGTCTGTAGGATTATAGTGTATGTCTTACACATAATTTCATTTTCTTGCATGTAATTTTGAGGAAGTAAATCTGTGCTACACTTAGTTGTTATTCTATTTGAATGTCATCTTATGTGGTGCAACAATTTCATATTGCCCCCATTCTCTTTAGCTTAGAGGAGTATGGAATTTCTTATAAGGAACAGCAAACATTTTTTTCCCTTCAGACTGCAGGGGGAATGATGTAGACCATATCTTTTACTCTTCACTAGGTGACAATTGAAATAATTAATGGTGTCCTGGCTTCACACATGCTGGACTATTACACTTACTCCTGATGTCTAACAGATAAACATTGTGTCTTTTAAGTGCATTGTATATATCAAATAATGGTGGCACAAAGAAGGGAAAGTGTCAAAACTGGCTTGATAGCTGTATTCAGTATGTTTGACTCTCTTACAGTTGGTATCACCACTGCCATCTCCATTCTGCTTTTTATTTTTGCAATTACTGTCATTGTATCAGTGTGACATATCTTAGTGATTCTTAGCTAAAAGTATTGCCAACAGCCTTGGCATCTAGGAGGAAGAATCAGTTCTGAAGAAGAAAACATCTATTGAATGGACAGAAATGTAATGCTTATCTAAAAGGAAAAAAAAAAGACATGTTGTAAAATCACTTCATATTCTAGCTGAGTAACAATAGAAATGCCAAATTAAAGCGAACCAGTCATTTTGTTGGGAGTGACAGGGAGTAACTTACAGTAGTTCCAAAATAATGTGGACTTTCTACAAAGCATACGAGTATCAAGGAAAAAAGCTCTTCATCTTTTTTTTTTTTTCAAATACTGAGTATTTAAAATTTGTATTAAAGTATTTAAAGTTTGTATTTTGTAAGTCACATTTCCTTTCTCAGAAAGACAGTAAGTAATACACGTAACAGAAGAAAAAACATTTTATCGGGAAAAAAAAAAAAAGATTCTGAGTGCAGTGAAGCACATGGCAAGAAGTCATTTCAACAATAAATGATTTACAGTGAATATTGTGATATCAGGCCCTGGTGTGTCATGCATGTCTGTTTTTCATTTGTCCCATGTTGTGAGAAGGATATGAATGGTATCTGACAGCTTTGGGGGGAATTCAATAACCAGAAATATTTGTATTTGCAAAATGTGGAAATTTTGATTGTTTTATACTGAAAGAGCTATCCCAAAAATATTAATGTATTCTTTGAGGCCATACAGTGATTTTAATAGTTAATCTAGTATTTATCTTCATTATTTCTCTGCTCTGTGTTGTAGACAATTTTCTCAGGATTTATCTGGATTACTTTATATACAGAGCTTGCTTTAAATATACAGAGAATTGATAAAGTCTTGTAAAATCACATTGAATTCTATTCTGAAGGCCATTCTGGTAGATATTGATCAAATTAATTCTCTTGGTAACTGCTACTTTCAGTTACTTTGCATATGTTTTTAATATGTGGACCAGCAGCAAAGGATATGCCATCTTGTTCTTAGTCTCCTTGCTTAGATTCAATAATAATCTTTAATTACAAATTGTCTTGAATTGGCATCACTCTGTTGTCACTCTGTTTGAGAGGGAAGAAGACAAAGCAGCAGTGATCTGAAGAAGCGGTCTTTTTAAACTGAAGTACTTTTTTCCAGTGTTATAACCGATGCTGGGCTTTACTGATGAGCTTATACTTGTAAACAGCAGTGAACATAACAGATGTTATCAAATGCTTTATATAACCATAGAAATGTCCTAAAGATACTGTCAAAAAGTTTTAAATACCTGGTTATAGGTAGTGGTACAGACTCTCTCTGGAAATCTCAAATTATTTTCTATTTTTTTTTTATAGGAGTCTTTTAAATAATATCTTTATGTCTTTTCTGGCTTTTTTCCCAGATAAGGATACAAGTAATTTTGAAGCCATTATGGCAGCTTGAATAACTGGCATTAAAAGAAAAGAAGAGCTGAACATACATGCTGAGTTTTGGTCCTTTGCTTATGGAACTGGCCAGTCATTCCTGTTACTGTCTAGCAGTCCCTAGCTCAGTCCCTTCAGGTTTTGATATTTGTGATACCAGCTTCTGATGCTGCTGTTGCTTTCAAATGTTTGACAGATTTCTTCATTTTGATACTGTTCTTCACACTGCAGCACAGAATGGGAGTTCTGCTGTTTCAGAACCTTAAATACTTAGACTGGACCTTGCTATCTTGAAGACTTTCTGCTCTGGTATTCCTTTGTACTGGTTTACAGTGAAGGTAATTTATTGTGCAATGAACTGCTGAGTCCTTCCTTTCTGCATGGTTACTTTTCCAAGTTGATTGCTTTTGGTTACCAGAGCACATGCCCATGTTTCAAACAAAATAAATTAATTTTAAAAGTTGTGTTCTGAGAAGAGAAGCCTTTGTGTTACTTTCAGATTTTGAATGCCAAAAGTGCATTAAGATATCTTAGTCCTTCCTCTTCTTTAGGGAACATACTGCTGTGACAAGTGATTTGTTTGTTCTGGGCTACTTTGTTTATTTGTTTGTTTTGTTGGTTTTGCTGTTTATATGTGACTAGGTAATATAATTCATTTCCAACCTTGCAGTATGTCCATTTTATTTATACATTTTCTAGCATTGTTTCAGTTTCTTTTAACAGAACACCTTTCTGAAAGGTTCCAGGAGAGATTTCCAAACTGCAGGGTAAAACTTGGGAATAAAGAGCAAAAACAGATACTTAGGTTTCTTGCCTAAAATCACAGGGTAGCTGTAAGTTGTAATGCAGAATTTCTGTGTGCTGTGCCTCCAGTAATCGTGGTTCCTGGTGGTACATAATTTCAATTTCAGAAGGTGTCATTAATATCTTTGTGTCAGCAGCTGAAGCCTCATCAAATTTACTGTTTTACTGCTTGATAAGGTGTTAAAGTAGTAAACAACTGCTTCTGCTATTGGTAATTAAGACTGGTAATTGACTGCATAGATATATATTGAATTCTGTTAAATGTAGTGGGAAGCATTATTGAGTTGTGTGGACTTCCTGCACTGAAAAATTTTGGTGTCTGATTTGCTTCAGTATTTTAATTCTTTACTTAACTCTTTTACCTGTATTGATTGATTCACAAAATTGTTAGGGTTGGAAGGGATTTCTGGAGATCATTTAGTCCAACCCCAGACCATCTAGTACAAGCCCAGAGTACTTAAAAGCTCACTGGATGAAGTACATCTGCAAAACTGGTAATAAAGAATCCTAAGTATACCACAACTGAGAATGAAAAGAGACCATAAAAGACTAAAGGAACATTAAAAATAGTCTCTCCATAATATAAGTCTGTTAATGGCAGATAAAATTCTCTTTAGCAGAACTGTGGGCATTTTGTTTAGTCCTAATTTATTAGCATAGGGAGCAGCAGGTTGATTGGGGACTAAGCAGGGAAGGAGAGATGGGAACATCAGACCCCAGCCACTTAAATCCAGGGTTAAACCAGCATTCTTTTGGTCTTGGTTGGTGCAAAGGAGAAATACCAACCAGATATCTTCAAAAGGTAAAAAATCACCAAGTTTACTAGTGAATTACAGAAGATAAGGAACTTTGTCAAATGATTTAGTACAACATGAAACACCACAGCACAGACATAGCCTACTGAACATAGAAATCCTTTAAACCCATTTGACATTATCTTCTGTGAAAAGAAAGTTAGAAGGAGAAAAGGAGAAAGACAGGAAAGATGTAGAAAAACAGACATAGCTACCACTTCCAGGGTTCCAGTGATGTAAATCTCCAAGATGAAGGCAGGTTAAAGAGCAACATGATTGCCTCATGGTCAGCCTTCTTAAAAACCCTTCCTTCCATGTGGGTCTTTTTGGTTGCTTGGCCATTTAGGGGGCTGGGTTAGGCAACACTGGGGGGCTGCCTCCATTGTGCCGTGAGTGACAGACACTCCGAGGCTGGGTCAGGGCACCACCTCATCAGAGGTGCCTCACAAACCTCCTTCCACATATTCCAAGCCCCCAAGATGTATTGAAACAGATTTCCACTCTCTGACAGAACATTATTTGAACTACTCCTTCCCAGTCCCTTCACAGAAACAAGGTAATCTTATATTTTGCATAAGGCTAGTATTTTCTTTTGCCAAGTGATAATTGCACACATTTAATTGCACACACCTTCTCTTATTTAAAACAAATTAATGAAAATTTGTCTTAGTGGGATTTTGGGGGGTGTCTAATTGCAGAAGATGGAGCAAAGTACTTCCTTTTTTGTTGCATCGTTGCTATTTGGCCTGTGATGTTCTAAGCCTCAAAATGGCAGCAAGTAGTAACTTCAAAAGTTTGCAGGCTCCTGGAAGTGTGTTTTAAGTTAGCCTTATTTGTGAAAGATTATTGAACTTTTGAATGTAGTTTATGATTATATAGAATGAATTTCAGTATTTTTTTCAGCTTAACACTTGGATACTAACTTTCCTTCCTTTGTTGCCTTTAAACATGACATAGTTATGCTGATTTTTTTTTGGTGAAGTGATACAAAATTCCTTTCCTGTGGTCCTCTCAGCACCTTGTGTTGCATTTTCTGATCAAGCTCTGTTTTATTTTAGGAACTAAGCTTTGTGTAAAAAATGGAAGTTGATGTGGCTGGAGAGTCCAGAACTGCCCTCTCCACTCTCTCTGTGCCTCTTGCAGAGGTGAGTTCTGCAGCCAGGATGGAAGCAGAAAAGCCACGCTGTTCCAGCACCCCCTGCTCACCATTGAGGCGGACAGTTGCAGGGTATCAAATCCTTCACATGGATTCTAACTACCTGGTTGGCTTCACAACTGGAAAGGAGCTGCTAAAATTAGCCCATAAGTGTATTGGAAGTGAAGAGAATAAAAGAGAATCTGGTCCTAACTTGGGCTCCAAACATCTTGATTCAGGATTTTCACGTTCCTCGCGTTTGTACAAAACTAGAAGTAGGTTCTACCAGCCATATGAGATCCCAGCAGTAAATGGAAGGAGGAGGAGACGGATGCCCAGCTCAGGGGATAAATACAATAAAGCTTTACCATACGAACCTTTCAAGGCACTTCATGATCCCCTGTCTCTCTGCATTTTGAAAGGTAAAAGGGCTCATTCAAAATCCCTAGACTACCTCAATTTAGACAAAATGAGCATTAAGGAACCTGCTGACACAGAAGTGCTACAATACCAGCTCCAACACCTTACTCTTAGAGGGGATCGTATGTTTGCAAGGAATAGCACATGAGGTATCATCTCAAATTTATAAATGGTTTCTGATCTTGGTCTGTTGCTGCAGAAATCCACTGTTATACTGTGTACATAACTGTCCACATTGTAGGTGGTTTTATCAGCTCAGTGTTACCAGGAAGTAATTTATTTGAATACAATCTTGGCAATGCAACGTTCTACAAATACTTGGAGAGAGAAATCTTTCCTGATCAAGCAGCTTCTCATATAGATTTGACTGCAACTACTGGATATTTCTTTGGACACATTTTAACAAAATAAAAATCTTTTGATTTTTGGTATTTTTTTTCTGTCTGCCACATCTAGTGTTTACAGCAATTCAACACTGAAAAATTTATGATGTCTGCTTGGTTGTTGCTAATTTTGGCTTGATATTAGAAACTGCTCTTGGATAGGTACCCAAGGAGGTTTTTTGGGTTTACTTTTTGTTTCTGTAGTAAAATGTATGCGTTTTTCTTACAGCATGGATAGGAAAGTGAGCATGACTGGATTAATTACTTGCTATTTAAACAATCCAGTTCATACATTGGGACTGAGCTTGTACTGGTGATGTGGGTGAGATTTGTTTGTAAAAGAAACATTTGCTACATGAATCTTATTACATTATTTTTTTAGTTTCTCCATGGAAGTAATTGCTTTGTCCTTTTTATTCTATAAAACATGTTCAGAATCAGTCTTTAAGTTATTAAAGCAAATCTTTCAGGAGGTCAAGTGGGTTTTTTTTGTTTGGTTGTTTTTTTGGGTTTCTGGGGGGTTTTTTGTTAGATTTTGTTTTTAAATTGTCTAGAGACAGAAAATGGAATGTCTGTACTGGTATGTTTGTCATGTTTTTGATTTTAATTTGTGATTTTAATTTCATCTGTAGTAGCAGATGTTGTCAACTTCAGCATAGCTTTGGAAATTTTGTTGACTTGAAGCACTGAACACGAGCTCTGGAGGGCAGATTTTTTTCTTGACAAGAGTGCAAGTGAAATATTTCTTGTCAGCGTTGAAGAGATGATCTTGAATTTTGCAGCGGGATAGTGCACTGGTTTACTTTTCTTAATAAATTTTTATCCAAATATGACATCAAATGCAGTTTTGACAGCTGTATTCTTAGATGTGTTCAAAATATTTTATTTAATTAGTTTTAATTTTAGTTTAAAAATGAAAAATAGTTTTCATACTGTATTTTTTCAGGTGCAGTCTTGTACTGAAGCAGTGCATAACTTGATTTTGCCTGATGTCCTCTGCAGAAGTTAAAAATAATTTCATATTGCTTTGAAACATAAATTATTTATCAGTTGTTTCTGATAGTCAAGATTTTTGTTTGTTTGTTTATCACTCAGAATTACTAGAAAGCACTAGTTAGTGCATGTGCTCTGGGAAATGAAGAGTTCTTGCGCTGTCACTCCACAATTTAAATGAAGGCAGCCCGCTAGTGAGCATTTTGTAGTTTGGTTATCTTTTTTAGGTTTATTAGAAAACAAAAAAAACCAAACAAACCAAATCCAATGTGTATTCTCGAAGTTACGTACACTGGTGTTTAATGTCTTGAACAATGATCTTGAAAGTAAAAGTCTTCCTATTAGTCTTTAAGTTGAAAAACACAATACGGTCAGATGCCAAAGAGATGGGGGCTTTATTTAAGGAATAAACACTACTATTTATCGAAATATCAAATTAATTTGTATTTCTGGCTGAAAAATAAAAAGGTTATTATAAACAGCTGTTGTGAATTCTTTTGCTGTGTAGGAGAATAAGAGGACATTTAAAAAACCACAACTTTAGACCAGGGAACATTTAAAAACAACTTGAAAGTTAGGGTCCTAGATTTCTGTGAAATAGATGCTTAGCTGTGTTCCTTTGTTTTGGGAAAAGGACCACACATTTACCTTATGTGCATCTTTTTGATATTGTCCAGTGCTATCATTGTATGTAATTGTATACACTGAGAGACTGGTTGATGGCTATATAGTTGAGTTCAGACATAACAATGTGTTGGTATTTTATCTTTGGTGATTTGTTTGTCAGTGTGCTCAGACACAGTCATGGTGTTCACTTAACTCACACATACTTGCAGCCCTCATAACATGGGAAATACTATTTACATGACATGTAATACAGACTAAGCAAGGAATTGTTAATAGATAACTTATGTTTTTTCTAAGTTTTAATGGTACCAAGGAATCAAACAAATTTTCCAACATAATCAGTTTTTAGAAGTTCTGTAATGTGGTCTGGTTGAAGCTAGTTGTTTTCACCTTTAAAGCTTTATATGCTAAATGGACACAATTGGAAGAGATCATCCTTAGTGAGAATACAGTCAGCAAAAACTAGAAAAAATGCTTTGAATAAGACTAATTTTATAATGGAGCTACAGTAGAGTAGATAAGTATAAATAAGTGTTAAGTTGTAGGAAAAATGGAGATTAAAACTGAAAAATGTAGATTTATTACAATGCTAATACTTTAAAGACAGTGTCAAGCTTGGCAACCAACAGTAAAATGCACATACCTTTGCAAGTTGTTGGAGCTGGCGAGTGTGGGTTTATTGGTGATTCTGAGGATGACTTTTTGCATGAATTGTTTGCTGTTTGTTAATGTCTTAACTGGGACATCAGTTCCATAATGGGTGATTACACTGAACACTGTAATAGTGGCATAAACAGGTGCCAGATATACAGATCCTAAGAACAACACAATAATGTTTGAATTACTGATTTTTTTTTCCTGTCTCACAGTACATTGTTTTAACCAGAAGGTAATGCCAACTTTCCATGTCTTCAAAAACCTTCTGACAGATTATATGGGTTTTTCCCCCAGTGACTTTTCCAGGGTAATTTTTTTTTCTCTTTATTCCATCACAAAAGCACTTGGGGAAGATCAAACTGCCTTCAGGTCTACAGAATGTGGAAGGCTTCCTTTCCACACTGGAAAGGAATATGCCCTAATATTTGAAAGGAACCAGGGAACATTACCTTAATATTTCAATACCCAGTCAGTCTCGCACTGTTCTTAACTTACTGTTAAGTAGTGTGACAGTAGAGAATGACATTGATGTAAACCTACAGAGGCCACATTAGAAGAACTCGGAAAAGAAGACTATCACTTTTGGGTGAAAAACCCAGAATCGGTTGTCTTGTGTTGAAAACAAAAGAGAAGGTAAGTAAATTAACTAATCACATTGTGTCCATTTTTAGGACACAAGTTGCTTCACCTTGCATATGCCCAGTATCGCTTATATCAAGAAACTGGCCTGGAGTAAAAAGAGGGGGAAGCTCTCTTTAAGAGGAGGAGGAGAGCCTTGCACAGTGCTTTAATTTCTATGGCAAGTGGAAGGACAGAAAGAATTCACCATAATATATCAGTGCCGCGCTGCTGTCAGAGTGTCTCTACTCCCCCGGGCAGGGGAGGAGGTTGCTCCGGCTGAGCTGAAGGCCGGGGGGAGGGGGGGGCACTTCCCAGATGCGCCAGGGGCGTCCCGGGAGCACCTCAGCAAGGGGCAGCAGTGAGCAGCAGGCAGGCGAAGTGGAAGAAAGCAAGGAGGGACTCTCCTCGAGGGGAAAATCCAGAGTTTTTATTGTCTCCAGGGGAGCCAGCCGAGCAGGGGCCTCGAGGCAGGAATACAGCAGTTTATAAAGGGGGCGGAACATACAACACATTAACCAATGAGGGAGAACTTGGGAGAGAACAACCTCGTGGGAAACATGCCGGCTAGCCAATAGGGAATGTGACAGGGAGGGGCTCTTGTTCCTGATCGAATCACCCACCGAAGAGGGGAGAACTTTCTGGAAAGAGGGAAGGAGACAGTTGGGAGATGGACAGGAACTTGGGGAGGGATTGACAGAAGGTAACCAGGGAAACAGGGGAGGAAACAACAAATTGACACTCTCAAAGGGAGGGGTACCAGGGGAGGGGGAGAGGGGGATCCCAGGATTGAACCATTATAACTTCAGGGGGAAATAGAACAAACCAAATTAACCCTGCACCACAACATATCAGGGAAAGGCTGGAGAAATAAATCAGAAACCTCAGAGGAGCAGTGCTACAAGAACAGCAGGAGTGTAGTTCCAGCATCAGAAAAAGCAAAGACATGGAAGAAGATGGTGTGCTGGCCTCAAGTCTCTCTAGGTAGCAATGGAATGTGTTTCTGCTCGGCTAAGGAGGCTGGTGAGATGTCATAGCAAAATGCTGTGATCAGTCTGGGCTGCAGTGAAGGTAGGAAGCAGGAGTTGAGGCTGTGTGTGTAACACTTTCATACTTATAAGTTTAGATGAAATTCAGATGAGAATGCTGAAGGAATGAAATAATAATCTTTATTTCAATTGAGTATGGCCTGAATTCCAGTTTTGTGGTGTTTTATGATACTGAACAGCCCTACACAGCGTGAATAAGTGGATGGTGCAATTTTGTAGTCTGAGAAGCTCTCTGAAAACCAAAACTTTTGTCTGTTAAGTTCCTTTATTATTAATTTCAGTTTTTAAAAAATAACCTTTCAAGCTTTGTTATATATTATGGTGTAAATACCAACTGTGATGTCTGGTAGGATTGTTGTTGTATTCTGTTTTGGCATTTTGCTACACTCTCCCATGCTGAAGCTCCTCATGGGCTGTTCTTTCTCTGATGGGGCAGAAGTGCTAAAATATGCAAGAACATTGAGAACAGCACTGTCAGCTTGAACCCTATGAGAAACTGGAGCAAGCCACGATTTGCTCTAGTGTTTTACATTAACTGATTTTTTAGGAAGTCAAAAAATGTTCAAAAAAAGCATGAGGTACTGGGATGCCTTTAGAAGTCTATTTCAGGCAGGAATGTTGCAGCATAGAGCTTCATGGTGTGAACTATAGTCTGCAAATGGATAAAAGCAGAAGGGGAGAGAGAATGTCATTGTGCACTGGAATGTCGAGTGCTAAAACACCAACTTTTTAAAATAAGTGGATGAGAGCAGAAAAAAAAGAATATAAAATGCAAATTAATTTGTTTCTGCCTTATCTCAGTGATTGTAAGTTTTTGATGTTCATTGTGGTGAACATCTTCCGATTTTTATGAAGAAAAATTGGAGGATATCCAGAATAGCTACAGCTCCAAGCGACTGACTATGCAAGATTTTTACCTATCCATCTATATCAATGCTGTCTATAGAATTTAACTACTTTTATTTCATGAGCCTTTCAATATTTAGCTGATATTTTTTCAGAATTAGTCTTGTGAAAGAGATAGTTGGAAAAAAAATACTGAAGTAAGAAATACTGATGGGGGTCTCAGTAAAAATGGTAGATAAACCTTCATGTAAATAATGGCC